CCCCCCGGCTCTGGCTCCCTCAGCCTCTGCAACTCCGGCTCTGGCTCCCTCTGCCTCCCCGGCTCCGGCTGCAACTTCCTCGGCCTCTTCATCTCCATTGCTCTCAACCTCTGTGGCTATGTCGTCCTCTTCCTCGGCCTCTGCAGATCTCTGGGCCTCTCCCTCAGCCTCTGCGGCTTCGTTGCCCTCTGCAGCTGCCTCTGCCTTGGCCTTTGCCTCCTTGGATCCCTTTGTCTCTGCCTCCATGGCTCCGTCTCCCTCTGCCTCTGCCTCTCTGTCTCCCTTTGCATGTGCATGTGCCTCTGCCTCCTGCTCTCTGTCTCCATCCCCCTCTTCCTCTCCCTCGGCCTCTCTGTCTCCAGCTCCCTCGACGTCTTGCTCGGCCTCTCCGGCTCCCTCCGCCTCTCGCTCAGCCTCTCCAGCTCTGACTCCAGTTCCCTCTGTGACTGCCTCTCCCTTGGCCTCTCACTCGGCCTCTCCCATGGCCTCCCCAGCTCCCTGACTCCCTCTGCCTCTCGATCTCCTTCTCCCTCTCCCTCTCCTTCTGCATCTCCCTCTCCATCTGCATCTGTGTATGCGTCTCCATCTCCCCCACCATCTCCATCTCCCTCTGCCTCTCCCCTGCATCTGCGTCTCCCTCTACCTCCTCCTCTGCGTCTGCATTTCCTTCTCCCTCTCCTTCTGCATCTCCCTCTCTCCCTCCATCTGCCTCTGCCTCTCCCTCTCCGTTTGCATTTCCGTCTCCCTCTGGATCTCCCTCTTCATCTCCTTCTGCATCTCTCTCTCTCTCTCTCTCTGCGTCTGCGTCTCTGTTTCCCTCTCCCTTTCCATCTGCCTCTGCATCTCCCTCTCTGTCTGTGTCTCTCTTCCGCTCCCTCTGCCTCTGCGTCTCCCTCTCCCTCTGCCTGCGCGTCTCCCTCTGCCTCTGTGTCTCCGTCTCCCTCTGCCTCTGTGATTCCCTCTGCCTCTGCATGTCTCTCTGCCTCTACAGCTCCCTCTGCATGTGCATGTGCCTCTGCCTCCCCCTCTCCATCTCCGTCTCCGTCTCCATCCCTCTTCCTCTCCCTCTTGCTTGGCCTCTCCCGCTCCATCTCCCTCTGCCTCTACCTCTCGGTCTCCCTCTGCCTCTGCCTCTCGGTCTCCCTCTGCCTCTCCGTCTCCTTCTCCATCTTCATCTCCCTCTGCATCTTCCTCACCCTCTCCATCTCTGTCTCTCTATCCCTCTCAGTCTGCGTCTCCCTCTGCCTCTCCCTCTGCATCTGTGTCTGCATCTCCCTCTCCCTCTGGGTCTCCCTCTCCCTCTGTCTGCATCTGTGTCTCCCTCTGCATCTCCCTCTCCCTCTGCATCTCCCTCTCCCTCTGCCTGCGTCTCCCTCTGCCTGCGTCTCCCTCTGCCTTTGCCTCTTCCCCCCACCCCCCCCCCCCTCTGCCTGCGTCTCCCTCTGCCTGCGTCTCCCTCTGCCTTTGCCTCTTCCTCTGTCTCTGCATCTCCCTCTTCCTCCGTCACTGTGGCTCCCTCTGTCTCTCTGTCTCTATCTGTCTGTCTCGCTCTCTCTGTCTCTCACAGAATGGTTGAGATAGATTGGAAAGGACCTCTGGAGATCATCTAGTCCAACGCCCCTGCTCAAGCAGGGTCACCTAGAGCACATTGCCCAGGAACCTGTCTAGACAGCTTTTGAATATCTCCAGGGAAGGAGACTCCACAACTTCTCTGGGCAACCTATTCCAGTGCTCAGTCACCCTCACAATAAAGAAGTTTTTTCCTCATGTTCAGACGGACCTTCCTGTGTTTCAGTTTGTGCCCATTGCCTCTCGTCCTGTCACTGGGCACCACTGAAAAGAGTCTGGCCTCATCCTCTTTACACCCTCCCTTCAGATATTTATGTGCATTGATAAGATTCCCCCTCAGTCTTCT